GACGTCTTTGGATAGTGCTGGCTCTTCGTTTCAAACCGTGGTCTTTCAAAGACGTCTCCGTGGTCATGTGGCCGGCATGACTAAGCGCCAAAGGAGCACAGAACGCTGTTACCTTCCCACCAAAGGTGATCCCTATTTCTCTACTTGCATTTTTACATGCTTTCGAAATGCTAGTTTGGCAGAAGCTCAGACAAGTAACAGGAGTTCACCCCATTATGCGGCACTAGGGATTCAAACCGCTGAACTGCCGACCTTTTGATTGACAAGCTTAGTGTCTTAACCACTGAGCCACCATGTCCCTCAATCCCTACACTCTCTAAAATCTGAGCCACAGTCTACACAGGTATAAGTGAAGTGACTCCTATACCTTTGTACTTCTCTAACCTCTGAGATTATTAGGCTTCCTATGTGTGCATCATTGTTTGGCTAATTAATTAACTGGAGAAATAACCGTTTGCAAAGCAAAGCATCAACTTATATCACCACCTTCCAAGGTTACCTCTGGTCGGTTCTAACAGGCTCGTAGGTTTTCTTACGTTCTTAGATTTCAATCTAGTACTGTTTGGAAATATGCACCCAAATAGATGATAGCATGCAGGGTGGCAAAGTACGTCATCAGTTGAATGTTTCATGATAGGTAGCCATTTTGTGAATAGTACAAAACTGCTCTATGAAACAAGTTCTACACTTGTTTTCTGGTCTACAAGTTTTTTCTATTAGTGAAGGATAACAAAACTCTTAACCGGAAAGAGAACTGTTCGGGAGAAAACAAAATGATAAAGTCTTGGCATAAGGGCAGCAATCCATTCACATGACTTTAAATTTATCATAAAACTTAAATTAATTTAAATTATGTAACATTGATTAATTGTAAGAAGCTAAGCAAGACCAGATTTGATTAGTACTTGGAGGCCCCCACGCAATCCCAGGCTCACTGATAAATTTGGGATGACCAAATTCCATAAAGCAATGGCAAATCATTTTCGTACTGTGCCATGAAAACCAATTCTGTAAACATTTTCATATAATCGCCACTACCTTATTTTTAAGTATTCCAAGTCTCAAACACTAACTTTAGAAATTTTAATTCAATGTTTCTGTGAAGAGGGGGGAGACCTCCAGCAGGGTTGAGGAGAGCCGCATCTCTCCTCCTCAGCTGGCCATTACTCCCTTTCCTGAAGGCGGTTGCAGCGGTGGTCAGAAATGGCCACCACAAAGAAGAACTCGACCGGAAAAGAATGTGCAGAAGGAAGATAAGAACTGAAAGTTTTGGCTGACCAGGTTAAATTGTAAAAGCAACAACCAAGGTACCCTGGAATTTAAACTTACAAAAAATAACACTGCTCCCAAAGAAGAGTTGGAAGCAGTGAAGGAAAGTGAAAAGGGAAAGGTTTGGCTTTTTTTTTCTTCTCTCTCTCCTTCCCTATACTGACAACTAAGAGACTTAAATAAGAAATTGGAAAAATCCGCTTTGACATCAATAGGCAATTAAGTTGAAAATAAAACAAAATGCCAAAGGGATAATAAAGATTTCTGGACATTAAAAACTTTCTTTTTCATAAGCAGGAAGGGAGAGAAAAAGAATAAGGGCAGGATCTGGAAGAGGGAGGAGACTGCCTGGAATTAAAAAGAATCTACAGTAAAACTTCAACAAGACTTCTAAAAGATACATTTTAACTGAAACTTTGCAACTAAATAGTAACTCCAGGAAGAGAAAGTGGGGAAAAAAAGAGCAAAAAAGAAACAGCTTGCGTGTATTTGGATTATTTGGTGATCTTTGGATTCTTGGTTATTATATTTGAATGACTAAAATCAATTGCATGGTTGTTTAAAAATTTATACAATGGCACCACTTCTGGATGAATTGAAAATGGAACTTAAAAAGTACAAAGAAGATGCACAAGAAGGGAAGGGTTCTTTTGGCTTCGGCTTTCAATTCTTAGAAATTGAGATTTGGAACTATGAGAAACAACAAGAAACACGACTGCAAAACAAGAAGACTGGGACAAAGAAGAAGCCATATTTAATGAACAAGTAATTCTATGTGGGGAAGAAAAAGGAAAGGGGGGGAAAGAGAATGGAGAATTTAAGACTTAAAAAAACAACCAAAGAAAAGAAAAATAATTCGAAAAATAAATATAATACTGGAAAGCAACAGAAGAGGGGAATACAGAAGAGAGAAATAGAAGTAGAGAGACAAGGGGGTAAAAAGGGGAGAGAAGAAGAGAGGGAAGAAGGAAAGGAAAAGAAGTTACAAAGGACCGGAGCAAGATATAGAGAAACAAGACCTATTTAGAGATAATGGGTGAAAATCTACCCTGTTTCTCCAACAATATGGCCTCCCCCAATAGGAAGTCCCAGCATGTTTTATAGACATGAAATGAAATTAAGCCCCTCCCCCCAAATTAAGGCCTATATTAAAACATGCAAAATGGGGGGAATGGTGGGGGGGCTTGCCGTTAGGAAGTACTTTTGTTGCACACTTGGATATGGTGCTGCCTGCGTTGACCCTGATACGAAGTGCCCCACCAACGCCGAGGTCAACATCCAAGCCGGCCTTATTATATGAGAAACACGGTAACTGAAAAAGGGATTCTGTAAAGGTATATAAGATTGTATTGTTATATTAGTAATAGAAATAACTTTAGAAAATTGGAAACAACGTATGATTAAAATGAGGGATAAAATAGTTGGTGTAATTTAGTGAAATGTTTGTGAATAAAATAAGTGAAATAAAATAAATGAGAAAATTGAATTAGGAAGGAATGGGAACATGTTAATTAGTTAATGTTTTGTAAAATATAAGTGAAGGGGGGGGGGAATTAACTATGGAAAGCTTATAATTGTTCCCATAGAAGTATGATATTTAATTGAAAAGTAATGTTAAAGATGTTAAGACTTTAATGAATATTAATATTAATGATAGAATGGAATTGGAATGGAATGTTGTTTTAATTATATACATTTATAATTTTTTTCTTTTTTTTTAAGAATACAGTGTGTATTTTAAGAATGTACCAAGCAGAATCCAAATGGAAGTTATGTATTATATTGAATGTTACAACTTTAGGGAAGAGATATAAAGGCGTCATACTCCAATCAGTAACTACAGGAGAAATTTTGTTTAATGAGAAAAGATAATAGATAATTGAAACAGGACAGACAAAAAATATAAATACAATGATTTGAATTGAGATGAGATAATTCAAATAAAATTGATAAAATTAAAAGAGGGGAGAAGCTATGCAGAAAATGTAAAATAGTAATAAGATATGGAATAGAATATAAAAATGAGCATGAACCTGAATTTGTGTCTGTACGAAGAAATGTAACCCGGGATTACGGTGCTTTCAAAAAAGATGTTTTATTTGTATTTTTTTTCTCTTTGTGAAAACTCAAATAAAATTTACAAAAAAAAAAAAATTTAATTCAATGTTTCTGGAGATTACCAGGTTACAAAAGCTGGTCTTTTTCTGAAATTCAATTAGTCTGATGTTAATGAGAGCCAATTAGTATCTGTAAATTCACCATATGAAACTATTCACTACCAGATCTGTGTAAAAATAACTCTATAAATAAAAGACAAAATTAAGAAGGTCTTAACCCAAGTGTTATAAACCTGTTGAGCTGCATAAGAAAGACATAAAAACTAGGTCTTTTATTCATACAAACTTGAACTCTGAAAGTTGACTCCCTGGAAAAAGGAAGGTACGGTTTTGCCTACATTAAATATTAAAACACATATAATGGGGAAATCCCAACATAAAAACAACTGCAGGATTAAGTGCCCAAAGTGAAATGAAATATCAATGCTGGCTTGCCCCAAGGAATTAAGTCAGGTAATGCAATGCCAGCAACTTCTACTGAGATATCAACAAGGAACATAATAGCTGAGGAGGGCTGCTTATATTACTCTCAGTATGTGTTTCATGAACCTGACACAGGTCCTGACAATGGAGAACTCAGAAGACTTATTTACTGAACACTCTTGAACTTGGATATAGCATTCAAGTGATTGTTAGCATTATTGGATTGGTATGGATCAGTGCATAACACTGATGCACAACAACAAAACCTATGGATTATACAAATCCTTGAAAAGAAATATTTGATGGTGTATTCTAATGTCAGAATAGTTGGCCATTACAAAATGCATCGACTTTAGGTTCTCAGCTATTTACTATATATAAACTCAACTGAGCCATCACATTTTTTAACCTGGATAAAAATACTAAAAACACTAAGAGAGTTTTTAAAAATCTGTATACCACTGATTTTTACCTCTTGCCGTTAGAATTGCCACACATATTATTGTTCAATCACCCTACTCAATTAGTTAAACTTTGTGGGACAATCTAGAGGACACTTTCTTTTATGTAGGGATGTCCAAAACCTACTAGAACAGAACTCAGAAACAAGTTCCCTGCAACATTATCCTTCTGTTCTGAACTGTATCAATATGGTATGGTCAAAAGATAGTCTGGACGTTAATCTTCCAAACTAAAGCTGACGTATTCTGGATGTGGTCACCAAAACATAACTGTTTTGTCTGGAACACTATGTTAGAAACCTCACAAACTGCTTATGGTTTGGATGATGAAAATCATTGGATCACCATTCCAAATCATTTGGAATGGCCAAGTGAACCCAATCCAGAGTATAATGAGAACTAATTTGGATTTCTACAGATTATTCCATGCCTGAACCTAAAGGTTTTACAGAAACCTACTTCCTTCCATGGTATCCATATTACTCTCATACAGATACAAATCAGTCAGGAAAAAAAAAGATGAAAGTATTGTGAAATGTGCACTGATAAGTTTCTGATTATACTTCATATTACCATACTTGGGCATTTTAGCAAATTAGAATACATCCAAATAACATTACCAAATATATACACAGTACATTCATACAAATACATATCTATATCTCAATTTTAATTCTTTTCAAAATACATACAAATTATATGTTGCTTAAGCAAATATCCATAGGCATACCATCCAAAATAATGTCCCTGTAGCCAGAGCTGCATATTGATCAATCGTGGAAAGCACACTGAATATAAGGCAGACCAGCACTATGAGGAAACTGGGGGGGAAGAAAACAAAAAAACAAAAATTAAAATCACTAAAACATTTAATTAAGGTTTTTTTTTAAAGAAAAGAAACAATAAATAGGAAATAAATAAAAATCCCTGACTTTCAATAGTGTAATAAGCTGCAAAGGACAAAGGTAAAGGTTGATTTCACTCAACAGAATGTATGATAAAGGGGCTGTGAAGGAACTTAAGCTGAATTTTAGCTTCTTTTTTTTATCAGGTAACAAAGTCTTTGGATAAGGTTTTACAGGAGAATACAATTCAGCTTCTCCATTGAGACACAAAGTTAACAGAGCTATAAACAATGCTTGCAAGGAGCTAACTGTTCATATATAGATGTATCTACACAAGGAACTGCTTGCATAAACACATGGATAGTGTGTGGAATTTCCCTTACCAATTCAGCTGCCAAGGCTGAATGCATGTTAAAAGTGTAGCTCTTTTAACAAAAAAAAATGACATTATCCCACCAAAACAACTATTGATAGCAATAGAAGTCATATAAATAAGGCCAGAAATGAAATCAGAGTAGAATTTAGAACTTTCTATTCCAATCAACAGTTCCAAGCAAGCTGCCCAAGAAGAAAAACATTGATTTCTATTAAGTTGATAGGGATGGAGAAAAGGTAAGGATCTTATTGAATTGTTGCAAAACCATTACAAGAATCTGCCAGAAGTATATAATTAAAATAAAAAGTGTGAGTACACATATTATTTCTGTATTTCCATAAATTTAGCCCTTTGTCTGTATACACAAGCCCAAAATGTTCATTCTGATTAACTTTTAAAGGCCAAGTAGGACAGCACATTTAATCTAATTGCACAAAATGGGGATTTTTGCAGCTGTCTATTGGCTACCGCAGGTAAGATGCTATTTCTCAAACCCCAAAATGTCCTGATCTCAAATATGCTGAGAATTTGCTAGATGATGTTATGGCTATAGAATACTACAATGACTTTATCCATCCTATCCTAATTCTGCCTCCCTTCAGTTTTCACTATGCTGGACGATATATAGTTAAGCAAATGCCATTTTTAACTCTGAACTGGAATTCCTGAAAGCTACCACATCTTCATCCTTTTTAAGGTAAGGATAGATTTTAAACTATTTTAAAATGTGTACTTGTAAGTTTCTGATGACATACAGCAGGGTTTGGGCAGTTTAGCAGATCTTGAAAGAATAGATAGAAAGATCCCGCTAAGTAAGATATCTAAATAGGATACATAGGAACTTAAATAGTAATATAACTAAAAGGATACACAGGAACCAACAGAAGCTAGTATGGTAGACTAACACAACAACCTTTCAAAATTATGACAGACCTCTTCCCCCATAAAAGCTACTTACAACCCAGTTCCAGAGTTCCATGGTTGTACACACCCCACATTGGACACTTGGCAACCAGTTCATCTTTACAACCAGTTGTAGCAGCCCCTAGTCATGTAATTACGATTTAATTTTTTTCCTCTGTTTCCAGCCTTTTCAACTGATTTTCAAGAAAAAATGCCCAAAGAAAATGATGAGTTGATTAACTTAATGACACAGTGTTTGCTTAATTGTCATGTTCACTTAATGACCATAGCACTCGTTTAATGACTGCTGCAAAAAAAGTCATAAAATCGGGTCTGGTCACATGGCCCTCAATTTAGGATCATTATGACTTACAGCAGAAATTCCAGGCAGAAATTCCAGACTCTATTATTTTATTAGACCACAATTGAGCCCAAAATTTCTGTTCTAAGTGAGACATTTGTTAAGTGAGTTTTGCCCCATTTTATGACCTTTCTTGCCTCAGTTGTTAAGTGAATGACGGCAATTGATAAACTAAGTGAATGACTGCAATTGACAAATAACCCAGCTATGAAGTGAATCTGGATTTCCCATTGTCCTTGCTTGTGAGAAGTGGCAAAAAGTAATCACATGACTTCGGATACTGCAATTGTCATAAATATGAGTCAGTTGCCAAGCATCTGAATTTTGATCACACGATAACGGGGATGCTGCGAAGGTCATAACTGTAAAAAATGGTCATAAGTCACTTCTTTTTCCAGTGCTGTTGTAACTTTGAATGGTCACTAAATGAACTGTTGTAAATCAAGGACAACCTGTACCTATAATTTAAAATATTTCACCACCATATTCTGACAACATGTTGTTTAACAACATAATATTCCCCATCATGGCTTCCCTCCAATGTCAATAGATTGTCTCCAGAAATAAAATGAACCCCTTCCCTCATG